AAAAAAAAAAAGATTTTATTTTTTTTTCCCGAGCCAAGATTTTATTTTTTATTAAAGTTACACATGTGTGCATTTTAAAGAGTTCAATTATCCTTAGGCTTGTTAAGAAAATCAGCCTCATGACCTTGCCTATCCATATTTTCCCCCTCCCCAGGGGCCATGCCCCATACTTTAAGCTGCTTCGGATTGATTTGACATTTACTTCTGTGTCTCTAAATCATGACTGTGTGCCAGTTTTCGTATTATTTTTAAATTTACTTCCTTTTCATTACACTTCTCAATGATCCAACTCCCAGCTTTTCCCCGACTGTCTATGTAAAAGGTTTTTAAATTTATTTATTTATTTATTTTGAGATAGAGTCTCACTTTGTCACCCTTGGTAGGGTGCCGTGGCTTTATAGCGCATAGCAACCTCAAACTCTTGGGCTTAGGGGATTCTCTTGCCTCATTCTCCCAAATAACTGAGAGTACAGGCTCCCACCACAATACCTGTATATTTTTAGATATGAGGTCTCGCTCTGGCTGAGGCTGGTCTCCAACCTGTGAGCTCAGGCAATCCACCCACCTTGGCCTCCCAAGTGTTGAGATTACAGGTGTGAGCCACCAAGCCTGGCTTGGTTCTCAAACTTTTATCTAGTGTCCCAGTCTGGCCCCTAGGGGGACGGTTCATTAAAACCTAGATTATAGTGCCCACCACCCACATTGCAGCTTCTGATGTGGGAAGTCTGAGGCATGACCTGAGAACCTGCATTTCTTTTCTTTTCTTCTTTTTGAGACAGAGTCTCAAGCTGTTGCCCTGGGTAGAGTGTCCTGGCGTCGTAGCTCATAGCAACCTCCAACCTCCAACTTGGGCACAAGTGATTGCCTTGCCTCAGTTTTTCTATTTATTTATTTATTTTATTAAATCATAGCTGTGTACATTAATGCAGTCATGGGGTACAGTGTGCTGGTTTTATATACAATTTGAAATATTTTCACCAAACTGGTTAACATAGTCATCATGGCATTTTCTTAGTTATTGTGTTAAGACATTTATATTCGGCTTGGCACCTGTGTGGCTCAAGTGCCTAAGTCGCCGCCATATACACCTGAGCTGGTGGGTTCGAATCCAGCCCAGGCCCACCAAACAGCAATTAAGGCTGCAACCAAAAAA